CTTCAGAGTCAGCTCAAACAGCACCTCCCTTGGGAAGCTTTCCTTGACTTCCCTGGGCTGATGTTAACTCCGATTTCCTATATACTGTACCATACACATGTACTTTGTGACAATGGACTGCATCTGTCCATTGTAACATAGGTTTCCCTGTGACACTGGAATATCCATTCGAGTAGAGACTACGTCTAGATGTACGCCTGGCCTTAGTTTCATGTTTGGTATGTTGGAGGCACTCGATCAGTATCCTCACCGGTGTCCTTACTGAACTAACAAGTGTTCTTTATTTTTTTTTTTAAGATTTTATTTATTTATTTGACAGAGATCACAAGTAGGCAGAGAGGCAGGCAGAGGGAGAGGGAGAAGCAGGCTCCCTGCTGAGCAGGAAGCCCAATGTGGGGCTCAATCCCAGGACCCTGGGATCATGACCAGAGCCAAAGGCAGAGGCTTTAACCCACTGAGCCACCCAGGCACCCCTAACAAAGGTTCTTTACGTGACTTTCCCTGTATGTTGCCTCCAAAGTCAAGGACAGCTTCTAACGGATTTAATGAAAATATTACAATGCAAACTAATAATAAGCTTCAGTACCTCATTCTTTGGAATTTGATCTTGACATGGAGCTCGAGCCAATGAGCCATCAATCTTTCTTGCGCCTCCACGATACTCTGCATAACATTACTGTGACATCTAGAACACTAATTTTTATATCTGTCTTTTCCTGCAAATTCTTTGAAGGCAGGGAGGGGCATACTCATTTTCTTTTTTTAATCTGTATTTTATGGTACAGAGTCTGGTCTATAATTTGGTCTCAATAAAAGCTTGTTGGTGATAAAATATGTTTATTTCAGTCTAAAACCCAGCATCTGAATAGAACATTCCAGTAAAGTCAGCAACAGAACAAGGATGACCACTAATACCACTATTACTTAACACTGTTCTAGAGGCGTTAGCTAAGGCAATTAACTTGAGAAAGAAACAATAAAAAGGACCACTGGAAAGTAGGAGGTAAAATTATCATCATTTGCAGGTAATATGATTGTACACCTGAAAAATGCAAGAGATTCGAAAGCAAAATGACCACAAACAAGAAGCAGGGGAAAGAGGTTATAAAATGAGTTTTAAGAAATCAGTAACTTTCATATATACAAAAACCCCCCACATTAGGTAAGAGATACATGGAATAAAAGACTCTCATTTACAATAGCACCAAAATTATAAAATACCTGGGCATAAATTTAACAAGAAGTGCATAAGACTCATAAGAAGAAAACTAAGAGACATAGAGGAGACTATGGAAAGTCAAGACTTTTGAACTAAAAAATTTGACATATTGGGTGTTAGTTCTTCCTAAAATATAATAACATGACTGTAACAAAAACACCAGCAGTTTATTTTTTTTTAAGATTATTTATTTATTTATTTGACAGACAGAAATCACAAGTAGGCAGAGAGGCAGGCAGAGAGAGAGGGGGAAGCAGGCTCCCTGCCGAGCAGAGAGCCCGATGTGGGGCTCGATCTTAGGACCCTGAGATCATGACCTGAGCTGAAGGCAGAGGCTTAACCCACTGAGCCACCCAGGCGCCCCAGCAGGTTATTTTAAGATCAATAAAAGTTGCTGCTAAAGTTTTATGGAAAAATAAATAAATGAGAATAGCTAGTTGAATTATGAAAAAGAAGAACAAATGGGGCAAGTGGGTGGCTCAGTGGGTTAAGTCTCTGTCTTCGGCTCAGGTCATGATCTCAGGGTCCTGGGATTGAGCCCCACATTGGGCTTTCTGCTCAGCGGGGGCCTGCTTCTCACCCCCACCCCGTCTGCCTCTCTGTCTACTTTGTGATCTCTCTCTCTGTGTCAAATAAATAAAAAAAATAAATAAAAGAAGAACAAAGAGAAGGAATTAGCACCAACATCTATTTAATTATACTTTCTCATTAATTAAAACCGTGATGCTGGTGATAAAGAAAAAGGCCAGTGGAGTATATTTGAAAATCCAGACATAAGCTCCAGTATCGGTGGGAATTTAATATATGATAAACTTGTGGTGAAAAAAATGAGCAGTTTAATAAGTGGCACTGAGGCAATTTTAGCTTTCCAGAAAAAAATAAATTAAGCTGGATTTACACTTCCCATCTCATACCAGGATAAATTCCATATGGATGGATCAAAGATTGGAAGTGTGAACACAAAGCCATAGAAGTTCTAAGAGGAAATATGGGAGACGATAAACTCAGAGTGGGAAGGGCCTGGGACTCAAAATGCAGAAGCCATAAAATAAAAGGTTGATACACTTGATTACATAAAGATGAAATAAAATCCTGCATGGCCAAAACACACCAGAAGCAAAGGCAAAAGACATATGACAACGTGGAAAAAAGTCTATCAGAGAAAAGGGTCACCTCCACTGAGCTTCTAAGAAATTGGCAAGTCAGAGAACAATAACCCTAAGACAAAATGAGACAAAGGACAGTTCCCAGGAAAAGAAACACAAATGTCCCTTATCATATGGAAAGTATGATTAACCTTGGTTATAAAAATATAAAGGCACATTAAAACCACGCTGATGGATCATTTTCCCCTCTCAAGGCAGCAAAAAATCCAAAAATATGATAATATTGATAAGAACATGGGAAAAGAGGGGCACCTGCGTGGCTCTGTTGGTTGGGCATCCAATTCGTGGTTTCCACTCAGGTCACAGTCTCATGGGTCATGATATCATGGGTTGTGGGATCAAGCCCCGTATGGGACTTCACACTCAGTGTGGGGTCTGTTTCGGATTCTTTCTCTCCCTCTCCCTCTGCCCCTCCTCACCCCCAAATCATGTGCTCTCTCTAAAATAAAAAAAATAAATAAATAAAATCTTAAAAAAAAAAAAAAAGAATGTGGGAAAACAGGTACCCTCAATCATTATTGGTAGGAATATAAATTAATACGACTTAATATAAATTAGTACGACCCCATGGGGTCAAATTTGCAATAGCTCTCAAAATTACAAATGCATATATTTTCTGACGAAGCAATTTCACTTCTGGGAATTTATCCTACAGGTTCACTGGTACATGATCAGAATGACACATGTACATGGTTATTCACTGAAGAAGTGTTTGTGATAGTCAACGGTCAGAAAAAAGTCCATGACTAGGGTATAGTTATATGGAAAGATGGCAATGATACATAGTTAAGTTTTTTAGAAAGCAAAGAATAGAGTATGTGTATATATATACATATATATGCATACTCTCTCTATATATATACATATAAATATGTCTCTGTGTGTGTGTATACACACATATATATACACACACACATATATATATATATCTCTGTGTGTGTATATTATGTATATGTATACACACATATGCAAGGGAAAAAAAAAATCAGAAACTCTGAACCAGATTAACAAGAAAGAGAACAGTGGTTGTGAGCCGGAAGTGAGATGAGCTTCAGGAGGCAGGAAAAAAGAATAGGATGGGGACTTTGCATGGTATACTTTTAAATATTTTGAGATCTGAATAACAAAAGTATATTCAAAAATAAAAATTTTTTAGAGTTTGTCAAACAAGTGGGTACAATATTAATGAGTCTCACAGTTAGCCAGATCGAGGCTGTAATTTAAGATTAAGACATACTGGAAGCAGCCAGAATAATGATATTCTGCGTCTTTACTTAAGTCAAGATTCATGCGATAAATGAACAAGCGACAAATTGACACTCCATCATGCAAAGTCAAGAGGCTGTATTTCTTGGGGGAGAGAAAGAGAGAAAAGGAACCCAGCCACTTGCAGGTAAATGAACAGCTACTCTATTTGCAACTGTCAGTCCGGTTAATGGCGTGAAGGCCATGAGGAGAGCAGGAATGGGAAGGAAGGAAAAGATGCAAAATACCTGAATGGAAAAATAAATCCATGGGTCTTGATGGCTGATTGAAAAATTCTACTACATATGTTCAGAAAGCCTCATGGCAGTCACCCAGATCCTCTGTAATTTATTTCATTTGCCAGATTGTACTAGAGGGTACCACAACCTGTCACTGGCTGTGGAAGGCTAGAAGACTATAAAGAGAACGCAGTGATTTGTAAAGCCTAGGTGTTTGGTAGTATCACTAACAGAAATTAGGAAGTCGGGAGGAAGGACTGGTTTAGGGGGAAAGAATGGCTTTGGTTTCGAGTGGGAAATCAGGTAGCAAGGGCCACTGGAAATGCTGATCCGAAGCTCAGGGGTAAGTTGGACCTGAAGACAGAAGTAGAAGATATTTGCCAAGACAGATGGAGGGGCTCACCGGAAGCAGAGGCAGAGATGAGAACCTAAGGACTGCCCTTGACTGTGGCGCGAGATGGGGACGAGGAGCCAGTTCTACAGAGACTTAAATGGAGAATCGGGAGAGCCTGGTGACCGTTAGGCAAGGTGGGAAGTTTCAAGAAGCAGTGAAGGGATCAACTCAATGAGAAAAAGGGCCAAAGACAATAATAAAAGCAGCAACATATACTGCCTTTAATCTTCACACACAGCAACCTATCAGGTAGGTGCCACTATTCTCCCCATTGGACAGAGAAGGATATTAACAAAGACAGTGACTCCAAAGCCACAGGACCTAACTGCTGAGCCATCCTGCACAGCTGTCGGGGCAAGGGCCGGGAGACCTGACACTGGCTCTACCACTCAATTAGCTCTATGTCCACGGACTTCACCTTTACCTTCCCAGGCTGCGTTTCCTTCTCTACAAATTGAGGCTATTGGTCTAGATCATCTCTAGCTCTTACGTCAGATGAATCTTTGATTAAGGTAGGATGGAGGAGATACACCCACAAGGGAGGCAATGAATTAAAAATTGAGCAATAAGTGAACAGGGAGACCTGGCCAAGAAAATCAGAACGTTGAGTGTTTTATATAGTAACTGTTCAAGCAACAAATCCATACTCTGATTATATAAAACCTATAATTGCAAAACTCGACCTTCTCTCCATATATTTAAGATAGGTATAATACAAGAATTAAAATGGCTCATACCTGAAAATTTACGAACGCTGCTCTTGAAACCCTGCTAAGTCAATTGAGTGGAGTAAAAAAGGGAAGATTCCAAGTCAAACACACTCTGTATATGAAGGGTTGTCCTGTAGAGAAAGCAAATAGCTGTTTATAATGTACTTTTGTAATTAGAGACAGAAACATCTGCTAAGGTACTTAATAGCTACTTATTTAAATAAAACTACATGGCAGCACTGTTCCAGTGAACTAGATCATCGGCACAGATGATGAACGAACAGAAATAAACAGATTGGCTTATTTTTAACAGAAACCTTAATATGAAAATCTGCAAGAAGTGATTTCTGATATAATGGATTACAGCCAATGGCAAGCAGACATACTTTTTAACTTTGACAATAAAATAAACTTCTGAAGACAACAGCTGTTCAAAGGCGGGCCAGCAGACCAGGTTATGACAACAGCAACATATGTCACATCACCCTTTTCCTGCAAGTGCAATTAATAGGATTTGCAAGAAAACCAAACAGAAGAGCTTTAAAGACTCAACTTGAAAAAGTCAACATTTCTGAAAGACTGTATGGTTGCAGGAAGTGGGGGAAAAATAAATCCTACCACATATGTTCAGAAAGTCCTACTGGAGTCACCCAGATCTTTTATAACTTACTCAGTTTGCCAGATTGCACCCGAGTATACCACAATTTGTAATATCAGCTGTAACAACCTGTTAACAATTTTTCAATTTTTACTCTATTCCAGACATTTTTAATTACTAAAAAAAAAAAAAAAAAAAAAAAATCTGTTGGATTGTTTTCTTTGTTGACCATGAAGTTTTGTTAATCAAGGAGAGTGTGAGGCTTTAGGTCCATAGGCAGTGGAAAATGAATTTGATGCCTTTTAAACCAATCAATTAAGCTAAGAGTGCTCACCAAAAATTTATTGACTAAAGTAATAGAATCACTTTTTAAGACAATATGTATTTTTTTCTGATTATAATATAAAAGTATTGTATACTTACAAAAAATTTTAGAAAACACAGGCAAGTAGAAAGAAGAAAACAAACTGAAATAATTTTATTTTTTTAAAGATTTTATTTATTTATTTGACACAGAGAGAGCACAAGTAGGGGGAATGACAGAGGCTTCCCGCTGAGTAGGGAGCCCTACATGGAGCTCGATCCTAGGACCCCAGCATCATGACCTGAGCTAAAGGCAGACGCTTAGCTGACGGAGCCACCCAGGCACCCCTAAACTGACATAATTTTTTTTAAGATTTTATTTATTTATTTTGTCAGAGAGATCACAAGCAGGCAGAGCAGCAGAGGGAGAGGGAGAAGCAGGCTCCCTGCTGAGCAGAGAGCCGATGCAGGGCTCGATCCCAGGACCCTGGGATCATGACCTGAGCCGAAAGCAGTCGCTCAACCAACTGAGCCACCCAGGCGCCCCATTAATTTTTAAATGAGTATCCTGAAAACACCCACAGAGAAAGGAAAGCTGCTCAGATATATTTAAACTAGTAAAACGATTCCATTAACTACCCACTTGTGAGGAGGTCTGGATTCTGGCAACTTAAATCATTCAAAACATTTTATGTTACAAAATTTTTTGAGCAGAAAACTAGTTGGGGGAACAAAATTAATAATTTTTGAGAACAACTCCTTCCAACACTAAAAGCTCATCTATCACCTAGCCCCACTGAGCACTCAGGAAAGGGTACTTACTGGGAGAACTATAGCTTTACTATCTCAACAATGGTACTAAACAGCACACTAACTAGTACTGGGTCTGTGCAGCGACAAGCAAAGTTAATTCTGTGGCTTTTTAAGAAAACTGATTTCTGGACATAGGCTATGCCCTGCGTAGTTTTTACACATTGATGACATATCATTTTTAGGAATAACCACCATGTTCTACTCTAGCAGATATTTTTTAAAAACAAATTTTTTTAAGTAGGTTCCACACCCAACATGGAACTTGAACTTGCCACCCTGAGATCAAGAGTCACATGCTCGCTCTACTGACAGAGCCGGCCAGGCACCCCTACCCTAGCAGGTGTTAGCTGGTTTGTGTATTAACCTTCAGCATCCTTTCCAACTTCCTTTTGGAAAATAAAAAAGCACATTTCCCAGACTCCTTTACGGTTCAGTTTCCCCATGTGAAACAGAATTCATCCATCAGATGTTCTTCTGTGAGATCTGGAAGACAGAAATGAGGCAGGGGCCATCTTTCTGCTACTTCGCCATTAATGCTGGCAAGTACATTTATGGAAACACTGGATTTTCCTGCAAAGCCTTCCAGGGTCCAGAGCTTCATGGCTGTTTAGAGACAAGTTTGGTAGAGACAAGCGTCCCCAGTTGGTGGATACTGAGGGGCAGTTTCAGGGAAGCAATCTCTTTTTTTTTTTTTTTTAAGATTTTTATTTATTTATTTGACAGAGAGAGATCACAAGGAGGCAGAGAGGCAGGCAAAGAGAGAGAGGAGGAGGAAGCAGGCTCCCTGCAGAGCAGAGATCCCGATGCGGGGCTAGATTCCAGGACCCTGAGATCATGACCTGAGCCGAAGGCAGAGGCTTTAACCCACTGAGCCACCCAGGGAAGCAATCTCTTGACCCTTGAACTGCAGCTAGTGATGCCATCTGGAACACAGCAGGGCCAGTGGTGGCCTCCTGATTCCCTCCCCCTGGAGGGCCTGCTTGCAGTCTGGTTCTGGGAATGATTTCTGCAGGCCCCGCCTGGAGCCCATTCCTTCCGGCCTTTCCAGTAATTTTGTAAGCACTCAATTCCCTTTAGTAAACCAGCTAAAACTCTAGAGTGGTGTCTTCTTCCTGCCACGAGGCCCAGATGACATACTAATACATCAATTACCTAAAACTTTAAGCAGACAGGCGAGTAGTGTGTGAACAGCAGGACTGGTCAGTATGCCGGGGTACAGGCTCTAGACTCAGACTGTCCAGGTGCAAATTCTGGCTCTGTCACACATTAACTAGATAACATGGGAAGTTAACCTTCTAGAGCCTCAGTTTCCCCATCTGTAAAATGGAATCAAAGAAATATCTTCTAGGGCGCCTGGGTGGCTCAGTGGGTTAAAGCCTCTACCTAAGGGTCAGGTCATGGTCCCAGGGCCCTGGGATCAAGCCCTGCATCGGGCTCTCTGCTCAGCAGGGAACCTGCCTGCTTCCACCTCTCTCTCTGCCTGCCTCTCTGTCTACTTGCAATCTCTGTCAAATAAATAAATAAAATCTGAAAGATAGAAAGAAAGAAAGAAAGAAAGAAAGAAAGAAAGACCTTCTAGAGCTACAGGACAGAGTAAAAGAGAAAAATAATCTAAGTAAAGTGCTTACAACAGCGCTTTGCTTATACCAAGCCCTTGATGGATATTAGTTATTATTATGGTAATCATCATCATCATCATCATGACTATTATTAATTACACAGACCGCTTTAAACTCTTTAACTGCATAGAAAACGTAAACATTTTATAACTTTACTACCACAGATTTTCTTGAAGCCTGTAAAATGCTAACTTACACAAAAGTGGACGCAGAAGAAAATGTGACTGGGTCCCTCATTTTCGTGTGCTCTGAGAGAGTGATCTTTTCAAAATCACAGTGTACATGAAGTCGGCAAAGCTCTGTTCTAGCAGGCCAAGCGGTTAAGGTTACTCTAACTAGCTATTGTAGACTTCACCCCAAGGAAGAGTTATTCTGTAGAAATGACTGTTGCCATATTATCATTTCAAACACTGCCTCATTAATTATGCTCTAGGAATCAGGGTGTTTGCTATGCAGATTTTTCCCCCCAGCTTCATTAAGATGTAATTGACAAAACTGTAAGGTATTTAAAGGTACATTATGATGCTCTGATACATATACACTGTGAAAGAAGTCCCTCCATCTAGATAAAGAACACATCATCATCTCACTCACACTGATCACTGGTATTGGGGTTTGGTGTGTTTTCTTGTTGTTGTTTGTTTATTTTTGTGAGAACACTTAAACTCTACTCTCTTAGCAAATTTCAATTATACAGTAACAGTGTTATCGACTATAGTCACCGTGTTATACATTAGGTCCTCAGGCCTTACTCACCTTATAGCTGAAAGTTTGTGCCTTTTTACCAGCCTCTTCCTATTTCCTCCATCCTCTAGCCCCTCACAACCACTTTTCTAGTTGGTTTCTAGGAGTTTCGCTTTGTTTTTGAGATTCCACATATAAGTGTTAACCTGTAGTATCTATCGGTCTTTCTCTATTTGCCTTATTTGACTTTGCATAATGCTCTCAGGGTCAGTCCCTGTTGTTGCAAACTACAGGATTTCTTTCTTTTTCGTGGCTGAATATTAATCCATTACATACATCTCACATCTTCTTTACCCATCCATCCCTTAGCAGACACATAGGCTGTTCTGTTACTCAGATTTTTTCAATGTTATCACAGGGGCAACTGGGTGGCTCAGTCGGTTAAGTGTCTGCCTCTTGGTTTCGGCTTGAGTAGTGAACTCAGGGTCCTGAGAGGGAGCCCCATGTTGGGCTCTGTGCTCAGGATGGAGTCTGCTTGGGATTCTCTCTCTCTCTTCTCCTTCTGCCCCTCCTCCCCGTGTGTGAGCTCTCTCTCAAATAAATAAATCTTTATTTTTTTAAAGATTTTATTTATTTATTTGACAGAGAGAAATCACAAGTAGGCAGAGAGGCAGGCAGAGAGAGAGAGAGGAGGAAGCAGGCTCCCTGCCAAGCAGAGAGCCGGATCTGGGACTCGATCCCAGTACCCTGAGATCATGACCTGAGCTGAAGGCAGAGGCTTAACCCACTGAGCCACCCAGGTGCCCTCAAATAAATAAATCTTTAAAAATAATATTATCACAGAGGAGATTTCATGAGAATAGGATCTGTACTCCGTAAGATTTGCTATCTGAAAGTTAAAATTTTAGTGTTTAGGCTTAGGATGCTATTCTCATGTACATATTAAGAAGATCTTAGATAAAATTATGGCCTTGTTTGGTTTGTAAGTATCTTCTGACGATGGAAAATACATGGCAGATTTTGAAATAAAGTTTCCCCCAAATATTCTGAAACCGTAAGAACCTTTTATTGCAACTTATCCAACAGGACCAGTGAGACAGGGGGAACTGAAGCG